GTGTGTGTGTGTGTGTGTGTGTGTGTGTGTCACCTCTCGGTGTTGATATCTGTGGACACTTTTATATTTACACACTCTACCCTCTATCACGAAAAATTTACGCTCTATCCCGAAAATTGAGCCCTTTTACCCATAATATCGCATGCCTTATTTTGATCATATATATATATATATATATATATATATATATATATATATATATATATATGTGTGTGTGTGTGTGTGTGTGTGTGTGTGTGTGTGTGTGTGTGTGAAGTGCAGAAGTACTGAACCAGAAACGTTTACCTGCTTATTTTTATTGCATTTTGTACATCCAAATCAAAATTTTGCATATGTCCAACCATGTACAAACAATGTTTCTTTTTTTAATGAGTTCTCATGATTTGAGAAGATTGTATCTCCAGTATCCATAATCAAAAACCACATTAAATTCTTACATCAACCACATATGCGCCATATTCTCTCATATATTGACTTGTCACTTGTCAAAACATTGTGCAATGCATGCACATATCGGCTGTTGTATTTGGCTCTTTGGTAAAGAGTTCTTACTTCTCTGATGCCAATGCATTCGATGTATTCTAGGTGCCACCGACAGGTCAATCTGCCGATGGAAACCATATTTCGTTTATACCCTCCTGGTGGTAGAAAATGTCTTAACTCAAACTTCTGCTTGCTCTATTTCCCAATTTTTTGATAATGCTGATTTTTCCCTCCTGTGGTTCGTTGATGAGTCGAACTGCTGGCTACTCTTTCTCTATGCCTCATCAATCCCAGCCAAATAAACCAACTCCTAATTCCCCATAGATTTTCAAAGTGAAGCTGCCAACTAACTTTTATCTTTGGCTCCTGGGAGGAATGAACTTTCTCAAACAGTAACGATCTATGAAATTAGGTTGTCAGCAAAATATGAAGATATGTCAGCGGGTAGGTATTTTTTCGTTTTAAATTTGTGAAGGTTACAAATACCGGCTTTGAAAGAAACCAAAAAGTTATAATTAAAATTGAAACTGTTTTATAAAGAACAAACGAATAGTTAAAACAGGAACGAGAAATGATAGAAAGATGGAAAAGAAAGAATGAAAAAGGTAAAATTAAAACTGACAAAAAATGAAACGAGAAAGTTAGAGCGAAAAATTACATTTCAAAAAACAAGCCAAAAATTAAAAGTAAACATCCTTTTTATTCATCGTGTTCACATAATTCTTACCTTCATATACGTGTGCGTAAATTTCTCTGTGCTGGATAATTTTTTATCATTGCTCATTATTGACTAAATAATACAATATAGAAAATGCTTTCTTGTTCATTCCTGCTGTTCATTCTACAAATGTTTACCTTCCAATTAAGATATTTGAACTTGAAATAAAAAATTGGAATCTCAAATGAAAAAAGGTGAACAAGCACATTTTGCCTCACCCTTGGCGCAACATGATCTTTAAATGGGGTGGGGGACAATGTATGAACTGGTTAATTTCTAATTGTGTCATATTATAGTGATCGTTCGTTTCTTTTTTGTTTTGTTTTGCAAACTAATTCTGTTTCCTTTTTGCATTCATCAAGGTTCAATTCAAAATTCAGCTGATGTCATTTTGAAATTCCGCGTTTTTCATTTGAATTTGATCATTTTTAAATTGGTGTTGAACTTACTTAATTTTTTTTAATTTCAACTTCAACTTTTAATTTGACTGTAAAAAGCTTTAGTCCTTCCTTCCGACTTTTTAAGGTATTAATGTACGGTTATACTAAATCCCATGCTAGATCTTAAAGAGTAGACAAGTTAAAGAAGTTATTTTCTCTCCTAATCAACGCAACTAATACGAGATACGCGCTTGACTTTTTTTCTTAGTATTACATTATTTTAACATTCTCTGAGTTTCTCACTAATTTTGCAGCATCTTGGTCATTTGGCTCTGTATATTTTTGGTTTTGGATATTTATTATATATATTTTCTTTAGTTTTTCATATTAGAATTCGCTCATTACAAGGATCGAGTGTTACTGAAGATAAATGTTTACTGTTAAAAAGATAAGAGCGAATGTGTTTGGTTATATGAATAAAAAAGTTGGTAAGAAGTGAAGTTGATAAGGAATATCAATAACTATTGACACTTCATTTGAAGCGGTCCAGAGAAGAAACAACGCCTGTAACTCCATGATAAAAATGGTATCACATGTCATGCATGATTAGGCAATCATGTACCTTTTGATACATGACTGACGAGGCAGATTGTTTCCTGCAGTAGGCTGCCATTCCTTCCTGCAGTAGACCAGTTGCCATCCAAGATTATAGAACCCGGACTATCCTGTTATTCACCCTTAGCTGGGGGGAGAAGAGAATTCATACCTTTCCCAAGGGTATACCTAATTGAATGTAATGGATTCGAACTCGGCTCCCCGATTCCTCAGTCCGAGCCGTTATCCATTACTCCACCGTGCCTCCGCAAAGTGGTAGTTGTTCGAATTTAAAGAATAAAAAATAAAGAAAATATAAATGAAAAGTCAGTTATCCGATCGACAGACATACAATGACACCAGACAAAAGAGAAGCATCTTAGTTGTACTTTCTTAATTCTTTGAGAAAATTTGATCGGTGCAATTCGATCGGATCTTATTTGAAGAGGAAATGACCATTTGTGGTCAATGCAAAAAGGATTAGAAATTCGACTGGATGACTCCGGCTTCACGAATGACAACCGACAAAGAAGACATGAGACCAAAAATGGAAAGAAGATACGATAGGAAAAAAAAAAGAAGATATAAAAGACTGATTAGTTAAATGTAAATATATTTAAAATGTAAAAGAATTGTCGCAAGCAAAGAAAACTGTCTCAAAAAATACAAAGAATAGATAATGAAAAATCAATGTTTTTTATCAGTAACTATGTTGAAGACGGAAAACTTAGAAGAGAGAGTGAAAGAAGGAAAAGAAGAAGGGAAAGGGATATGAGTTTTCAAATGAACTCTATAAAAAATGAACAGTATAAAATATGAACAGTATAAAAATAGAAAGAAACAAACAAACAAATAAAGAAAGCGCCTCTTTCTCCTACACTCCATTCCTCCATGTAAATAAAATTTATTCGGCCATTTATAAAGGAAAAAGAAAAACGATTTGTGACAAGAAAAAGGAAAATTGGACACCATAAGAAATTAATTCCTTTTCATGACGAGGCCGACCACTTGGTTAAAATAATTTGTCTATTGTAGGTTTGAGACCAGGTCAATAAACCATGTTTTAAAATGCTGATTTTCAGGGCCTGGCAGCAACACAAACTTCTTTATATACAGTTTGTTCCTCTTTTCTTACGAGCCGACTGATATCTGGGGATTATTACGCTAATATGACGCTAAAAACGTTAGACTGATGGAGGCACACACTATATACTTGTGACGGGTCTACACCTGGCCCAGGGTCGAATCCTTTGGTTACGGCGCCAACTGTGACGTCGCTCCTCCTGGTCGCTCCTCCTGGTTCCAAGCGTGCCGCTCCAACCCTTTGGTTAGATGATCACCAGCCTCGCCTTTCCCAACTCGCCCCCAATACCTGGTTACTGAAGCAACTGTACTGATCTCCGGTCTGTCTACCCACGTTGTGTTTAGATCTTAGACAGACGGGACCAGCAGGGATTGGGGCCGATACAAATTGAGTCCGACAGGGGGTGGCAAAACACAAAGTAAAAAAAAAAAAAAACTCACGAGACAAAAATTACTGAAAAAAAAAAAGGGTGACAACCTTTTATATCTAATGTCCGTTACATAAAGAAAATTGTTCTTATTTCCCGACCCGCTCTGTGGACTATGGCACCAAGCTTCTATCATACAACTTAAAGATTTCGAATTGCCTACTCTTTAGAATTATGTATGTCGGGTGTGGTCTAGTTCGACACTGGGGCTAATTTCTGTCAATCATTCGCAGTTGATTCTTCTCTTCGACTTGAGTTGTATTTCTTCACTTCGATCTGGTTTGGTCGAATTCTGATCTCGGGCTTGGCTTGATTTCAACTTCTTCTTCTTCCGTCCAGCAACTCTTTTCTGTCGACTGAGGTGGAACTGATTTGCTTGTTTGGTCTGCAACTTTACTTCTTGTCTGGCCTGCAACTCTTCGGCCTGTCTTTGACTCGGCTGCAACTTCTCTGCGGCTTTCGAGTAATCTTCTTCTTCGTCGACTTAGATGGAACTTCTCTTGTCTTCGACTTGGGCTGGAAGGATTTCTTGTTTTCGACTTGGGCTGGAAGGATTTCTTGTTTTCGACTTGGGCTGGAAGGATTTCTTGCCGCAACTCAGCCGCACCTCTCTGTCGTCCGAGGTGATCTCTTCTCGCTGCCGTCCGGGGCTGAACTGATTTTTTTTGTCGATTGGGGCCCTGCTTTTATTGACGCCGCAGCAAACCGGGGTGGGTCTGTCGGCGTCAGGGCTCTCGATAATTTCAAAAGTCGCATTACTTCTGATTTCCCATTATCGCTATTATTTTCACCCCCTACTTCCTCATAGTGCCTTTGGTGGGGAGGCGCATATCCATCTCTCCCGGTCCCTCGTATGTCAGGTGACCGCTTTCGACCAATGGTTCCTGATCGAGCATTTCTTTCTTTTCTTTTCCGCAGCCACGTGACAGTTTTCGGCTAATGAGATTCTGGTTGGGCGTTCTCCTGTCTCCACTCGGGGCGGGGCTTATATCGTTATTGTTCTAAAAAAAACAAAATCTAATTTGGCCTTTTTTCGCACGTACGAAAAATGATAATCTTGGCTTTTTCTCACCTGGGTTCTGTCAAAACAGCCCGCCGCCAACCAGATGCGACTTCAGGAAAGAATATTGGCGCTATCTGTGAGCCGAGACATTCGCCTTCTTCACCTCTTTGTTTTTTTTCGGTCAGACCTGATAGTCAAAAATCCTAATTATCTACATCGAAAATGTCTCCACTTTATTATCGCGGGTTTCCAATTCTTAACAGGTCAGAATCTGTATACAGTTCCACCGGTCACCCCCCTCAACCCAAAAGACACTTTTTCTCCGATTAAAAATTTCGTTTCTATTGTTCTAAAAAAATTTCCCTTTCTCCAAATTGATAATGAGTCTTTCTACGCAAATGTAGGCCAGATGGTTTGACCGACTTTCTTATCAATCGCCAATACACTGTCATCAAGCCTGGTCCTTTCTCTCTCTAAATGACTTTTCATTTCAAATAACAATTCCCTATTGTCTTTTTAAAATCGGCCAAGATGTTGGCCTAAATACCTTTCTGATACGTGTTTTTGTTAATGACCGCTTTTTGTATTTCTCGACCTCTCTCTTTCTTTCTTTCCTTTTTCTTTTAGGATCGTCTAAGTACAACTTAGTGAATTATTTTCAAACTCAATTATTCTTCGTCTAAGAAAAATTAACAACCTGTTTAATAAACCGAGTAAAAAAAATTAAATCATATTTCTATGAATATTTCTAATAATGCAAGGTGCCACATACTCATGGAACTGAATAATTTTTGAATCTAACCTACAATCAAATATTCACCAAACTCTGAATTAGTCTATATGGGCTTTGTACCCGATTTACTTTCTTAAGAAAACAGCTATAAAAGTATAACAGTGAGTTTCAAATAACCGGGTCGGGATGATTATTCTTTAGTAGGAAAAAATCAAAATCCATCCGAGGTATCCTTTTCCGACCAAGACTTTTATCAAATTTTCGGGAAATTCCCAAACATCCCATAATCTTGTCTGTGAGTATTCTAGAACAGCTTTTTAATATTTTTTTTACAACCCAGCCATTCCTTTTATTCCAAGTACTCCATCTATTCGAAACTCAAATGTATATACATTACCAAGCTATTGGTGGATGTCATACTCTTACTTTTGTCCCAAGACAACAAATATGATTTCAATTAGTAAGGATCGAAATCACTGGTTAGTAATGTGAAATGGCGCCAACCTACCTTGTCATAGCTTTATTATAAATTCTCCACGTAAAACCATTTTTTTTTATTTTGGGTAAGGAATTTTCACGCAAAATGAAGATTTCACATAAAACTTCATCACAGCGGAATAATACAGTGTAACAATGAAAAGGAAAAAAAATCTTTACTCGTTCAATTTCATTTCTTCCACTTCAGTAAACTTTCTTCTTCCACCCAGATGAACCCTACGCCTCAATAAATTAGTTCTCAACTAAAATTATGTTTTCTTTTTCTTTATAATTAAAAAAAAAAAAAAGAATTAGATATTTTTTTCATTCGATATTACGTGCGTTTCCCGGTGGGAAATTCTGTTTTAAATTTTATTTCACATTTTTTTTTTTTTTTTTGAATCTGAAACTACAGATGGTTACACTCGAGAGACTGTTCATGTTTACTAATTTAATAAAAACCCGCGCGTACCAAGACACCTGGCATAACCCGGCTGAACACCTACAGAGCCACCCTGTGGTTTATATTGTAATCTCTGCTGAGCGGAACTTAGCTACAGTTAAAGTATGTACCCCGCTATGTACAATGACGGTTCTGAATTCAAAGTTTTCTTTCTCCTATACTAGCTGACAGCCACAGCTAGACCTACTATTTAACTCATAGCTGAGGGAAGAATAGATAGATTCTTGTGATATTATTATAAGAATGGATCCTTTATGACAATCGTAAATGACGAAGGAGCCAAACACATTCCAAAACTGAAATTGCTCCAACATAAGATTATTTGTGACTGCCTGGTGGTTCGCCGTTGGCGTTATCCATTACAGTTTTCTGGAATCTAATCAGAGCATCACTGCCGAAGTTTACTACCAGTCACTGGATTAAATGCCCTTTCAGTTGGGCGAAATGAAACCAGTATTGATTAATCGATGGGGTCCACTTCTGCTTCATGACAATGCTCAGTTACATATTGCCAGGATGACACTGCAGAAGTTCAAAGAACTGGGATACAAAACTTTGCTACATCCACTATACTCCTCTGATCTCTCACCCGCTGACTACTGAAAAAAGACATTCGATTGCAAAGAAAATGCATTGGGATAATTCTTGATATCCAAATCTTTAGAGTTTTATTGTCAAGGTATAAAGAACCTGAAAATATTCAAGGTTCTTATTTTGATTGATTTAAACATTGTTTAAATACATTCATTCAGGAATTAAATTTGGTTCTAAAACCGGACATTTTTTAACAACTTAAAAGTTTCGTCAATATAATAAGAATATGACGCCAAATATGTGAGGCCTGCTTATACTAATACTTATAGATTTTACTGTTTCCATCAAAATAGCACCGGACCTCCTGTTTGCCGACTGTCTCTGTTCGAATTCTTGAGGCGTTTGTGTAGCACATTGTATATCGATCGGAATAATCCATTCTTCTAAAACTGACCTCAGTGTAGTTTATAGAATCAATTCCATATTTTATATTGGGTGGTTGCTGCTAAAATCTTTTTGTTGCATAAGTAATCAATATTCAACTTATTCCAAGCCTTCGAGCAATACAAAAACAATTTCAGATAAGAAATAACACGAATTTCATCTACAAGGAAATTCAGACATTTAAAATAAACAACACTGTTTATATCACCAGAAACGCGTGCAAAAATAATTTCGGTATATCTCTAAATATGACAGTAAGAATAAATGTGCTTTTTATAACTAGAGCCTTCGTTGAAACGATTGGTGACTATGCATTTCTTTACGAATGTTTTCATACGAAAAAAGAAGCGTAAGAGAGTAAATCAACCAACTGCCTATAATCGTCTAATTCACAATCAACGGAGTCAAAAGTAATGTACTGGCCGAATGGTAGAAGTAAGAAAGGTAAAACTTGATCTCCTTGTGATGTATCCATTTCGAGTTTCGTTGTTTATATCACTACATTATATTTTGATTTTCAAACTGTGATCTAATGGGCTAAGCAAGGTTCCAATAATTAGGAAGTTTGATGTGTTTTTGTTTAGTGTCACGTGTTATGATTAAGCCTACCTTGAATACGTACGAAATCATCTACTTATGGTATGCTGGATCTGAATTTGTTAGAATGAGTTCAATTGGATGATAAATACGACGAATTTGTTAGAATAAGTTTGATTGGAAGATAAATGCGATGGTTAATTTTTTTTTCTCTGTATTTAGAAGTGGTTAAATTCTAAGTATGACACCCTTTCTTTGCTAAGCGAAATCTCCATTGGGTTATAAACTTCATATACACAGCGGCATGGTGTAACGGTTAGCAAATTTGTCTCACTGGATCAAAAGTAATGAGTTCTATCTTCAATTGCTGTCCGATATTTTCGGCCTTGTGCCACATGTAAGCTACGCTTAAAAAACTACCATATACGCAGCGATCGAAGCGTT